TGTTAACGGTAAACCGTGGAACGATAACATGTATTTTAAAACAATTAACGACCATTTGGAACGTTATAAGACCGAACAGAGAAAGTGTTTTAATCGAAAACAGTAAAATAATTTACAACAGGGAGAGAAAAGAAACTGAACTCGGTGAAGTTGAATCGACCAGCAAAATCTGTTCTCGATACGAGTGATAGAAAATTAAAAAATTGCGTCGAACGCGTTTGAAAAAGAACCAACAGCTCAGGGTAAAAGGTTGAATTTTCTAGGAACGCTCGTGTTTTAAATAACACGGCTTTTTCTTTTTATGGAAATTAATAGCGGTAATTATACGAGACGCGTTTGATTCAGTTAATAGATAGCGACGGGTCAATAAAAAGACGACTTGGTACTAAAATTACCTAGAAACGGATGATTAAAATAAAAATTTTACGCGACCGCGCACGAATTCCCGTGGAGACCCTTATAAAAACATTTATCTGCTTTCCCTTGGGGGAATTCTCTTCCTAAGAATGCTTTTGACCGCGTATCTTGCGCGCGGCAAGAAACGTCCGATAAACGCCGAGAGAAAATTGTTCCCATAGGACTGATAAATAAAAAATAAGCAAAGTTCTTTCATCGTATTATTCCTTAATCGTTCCCTGCATACCTATCGTTTTCTAGAATCGTTCGAATTGCGATGAATGCTCGCGATTCCGATCACGGAACAAAATAATCCGCGATCGTTTTATCGTACTCCTCTCGTCCGCGAGTCGCGAGCCCAATATACAGTACACGTATGTTCGATTGCATCCGAACAAAAAAAGTAATATCGCGTGTAAAAATGTTATTTTAACGATTTTTCCCCGCATTTAAAAAATAAAAAGAAAACATCTCCCACGCATAACTTTGCAAATACGAATCGGTGGTTTCTATACGTAGATAAAAAAATGCATCGACGGTTGCTTGAACTCGTACCGCGCGTTTTAAAAGAGCGGAAAGACCTAATAGGATGTAAAAAAATCCTGATACGGTTTGCAAATTTTACGACCCGCCATGAATTATCCTACGGTAATTGGTTTCTCTTACAAGAACAACAGAATCTTGGTTTATCGTCCATTCTCGTTCGTGCAATCCCTTGCGCGTGCAAATCGAGCAATTTAATAAGTAACTTGCAAAACACTCGTACGCGGTTATTAAAATTTATTCTATCCGATCGAACGAAAAGTTTACGCATTTTTGGCAAGACGTCTCGATCGAAACGATCTATTATCGAAATTTTAATTATAATCCACGCGTATAAACGGTTTCGAAAAATACCTACTTGTTTAAAAAATTATTCCTTGCTGTAATTTATCCGAAACTCTTATCGTCGACAACAAAATATTATTTATATCGCATTAATCGATCGCGTTAAGTGATTTTGTTTTCAAGTACAATTTTTACCTAAAGATTTTCTTTTTATTATGAAACAGTATTTATATTTTAAGGGAAGAACGATTTTTCGCAGTCTACATAAATGAATAAAAACATTTGACGATAATAGCAACAAAGTACCGGTATTTAAATTTCATGTATTTTACTAGTTGCAATATTGGCATGGAAACAGAAATATATTTCTTCTTTATCATAATTACTACCCTCGAGATCAATCCATCCGCCTGAGCTTATAAAATATAACATGAAAACGTGTCATGCTCGTATGGGGCGATTAATTCTGCTCCCAAGAGTATAAAACTTGTGACTCGTTCCATTAGTATAGCAAGTTTTCACGATCGAAGATCCCTTAGGAGGTACGGATGGATATCAGAGCATAAATTATTTAAATAAACTCGTCATCGAATGCAATTCTTCCAACGTAAAAAAAATAACGTAGAATCTTTGGCTTCAATATTTCCTTAAAATTGATTATCGTCCATTGATTGGAATTTTATTTTATCCGGAACAATGGTTTTTTTAATCGAGATATTCGACAAGACGAACGTTAGGTACAAAATTCATATTTTGATTAATAAAATTAATGAAAGGGGAGGTTTGTAGAGGGTTGTCTCAACCTTTAAATATAATGATCCTATTTTAAGTATTTCTTATATTTTTATACAAGTATTTGCATTCTATAGTTTTTTAAGAATTACAGTTTTTCATAAATGCATAAACATCTACGGTCATAGATAATATTTTATTCATGTCCTCTATCCTGTTCAGGTGACATTAAGAAACATTTTTCTTATTAATATTTTCACTAAAGTATCATGGGATTTTTCAAATAAAAAACTCGTACTTGAATACAATCCCCGAAATTATTCGAGTCGATCGATTAAAGTCCCATTCCATTGTATATTATAATGTACTGATCGCGAGAAGATGTATGTAGTATTAAATATATGAAACAAAAAATAACTGTATACTTGTAGTTTATTAGTCTGAAAACATTTTCTTATCGTAGGTAGCGATCATTTTTAATAATTTCGTAGCATTTGTATATTTTAAATTTTAAAAATTTCTTGGAGTGTTTAATTTATTTTTTTTTGTTAAAATTTCAAACGATTGGAATGCAGCAGGTGAAGCATGAATACAAGAAACCGGGACTGTGTCCACATTAACGCGAAGGCAATACGATTATCATAATAAAAGCTGCAAGGTCTTAGAATTATATGTAGATTATGGAAAGAGATGTGCCAGGAACGAAAATGGAAGTAACGACTCCCTCTCTGTGCTACAAATATACACTATCGTTCAAAAGTTTGAAACCAGTTGATTATCATAAAATCACGTTACAGGTATTTTATCACAAGTCCTGTAGAACAATTTGTACTACATCTAGATTGAAATAACTAGCTTGAAGGTATTAAATAGGGTTGAATTTACACAGCCATCTGCATCCAAATGCAGACACCTTTTGGTCGAAATGTAAACATGCACAGAAATAGTTGTAAATAAATTTCTGGTAGATGAAAAGAAAACGAAGCGTCGTTCTAAAACAATATTTACAATATTGCTCGTAATGTACACGCTGTGGAAAACTGGAGACTAGACGAAATCTTGTATGCAAATTATCCTGATTGAATCGATCGTTTCGAAAGTCTAAAATCGACTAGAAAGCTCATTAGCAGCGACACATTCGTTATTGTTGACCGACCGACGTTCCAGTGCTTTTAATCGATTCAATCTCCACTTTTCAAAGAACCCTGATTACCATAAATGAGAACTTCGACGTCCATTTTCAAGTAGATCCTACGGAGACGCGTCACGAGACTCTTGTGTATAAATTCGGACAATAGACGACTAATGAATTGTACAGAAATCCAACACAATATATACGTATTAAGGTGAAAATCAAAAGGGAAACGCAGGCTCTCTCTAGTGCTAATGCCATTCACCTAATTCATTTTTCTTCGAACCCTACCGTGAACAGAACTTCTACAAGGGACACAAATTGTTTAGAAAAATGACAAGAATTTTGATAATATTATTACAGTGAATAATGGAAAGTAGAAAACAAATATGTAGATAGAATTTCATGAAATTATTTTTAAAACATTGTTAACAAACTAAATTTGCAATGCTAATAACTAATACTGCTGCAATTATATTTAACTGCCTGAAATATGTATTTTTACTGTAACAACACTCCTACATTAATTTATATGCTTTATACAATTATTTTATGAAACATTCTTGAACATTTTTCTGCCAATTTCACAAATAACTGATTAGTTATAAACGATTATTGGAAACGATAATTCTCTTATTCGGCATTTAGAATATTCATTTCGCGCTACAAAATGGCCACCATGAATTGGGATTCGGGCTACTGAAAAGTATCAGGATCATAGAATAGGAAAGAAGGTCGACGATGAACATTTTCCCGCCAATTCGATTAATCGATCCACACAGTTTGATTATTCACTAATTACCCCTTTTCTGTGATTAAATTATGAACTTTTAGAATTTAACAATATAGTATAGACCCTTGGCAATATTTAAGAACCAATTTTGCAACGATTCTGGCTAAAATTCATTAGTTATTAACGATAATTCTCTAAGTCGTTGCGTTAAAAAATTCGAAAAAATGTACCGTCCGATATTTGTTAACAACTCTTTAATTACGAGCGGAATGGTCATAAAAGATATCCTTGAATATTGTCAAGAGTCTACGCTAAAATACTAAAATTTGAAAGTTATTAAATTAATCCCATGAAAAAAGTAATTAATAAATTATCAAACAATGGTTCAATTTATCAAAATGGCGGAAATATGCTTTCTCTCTCTTTATCGCATGCTATTGTTCTCTTTTTCTAATTGATTACACCGCCATCTACGGCAAAACGTCCAAGTTTGTTGTAAAATAGTACACTGTCTTCACCACTAAGTAGCGACGATCTAAACATGAAATATTACTCATGAATGTAATTTATTTATAAAACGTGCTAGCAAAATTTCGAGTCACGTTATTATTCAATAAAGTTAGAATTTTGTAAAAGATTCCTTATACTTATATTAATAAAAGATTGATAAGCATTCTGCAACAGACTCATATTTGAACTCACGTACACGTGACTATGAATTAGGATATGTAAGCAGAAAGGCAGTTTCCTTTGGGTACCGGTCTACTAACATTGTGAGAGAACAACCCTTAAGTGTAATTTTTGACTTTCTTAGCATGACTAACTCTTCTGGAATCTCTCGACTTTCTTACAAAATAACAAAGGCAAAGAGAATCTCACTCAAAATTTTCGTGATAAAACCAAAACACGGGATTAGTTTCGGTGCTTGATAATTGACTCCCCTTTCCTGTTTCAATCTCTTCCTAAAATCTTTCCCAACTATACCACTCGCATCATAATCTTATTTAATACAATACATCATTAGAATGTAAAGGACCTTTCAAATTTCGCTGTTTATAAGATCTCAGTTTTGCTATTCCATAGCTATGTTCACAGCATATGATGTACATATCGTTGTAGCTTGCAACAATATTCACTTCTCTATTTATACATTTATTCAGTGTCACCACATTGTGAACTAAAAGATACCTACGTTATTTGCCATTATTTGGTTCTTCAATGTGAAATGCGTTGAGACACAAATATTTTTGGAAATATTAAAATATGCGTTATACGATAATGTTTGATTGTACAAATTCTTGAAGACGTCTTTTCAGGACTACTGTTTGCATAAATGTCTATTATTGTGTTGATCACGATTTTCAATTCTTACAAACAACGTACAGTATCTATATATTTATTACATAGCTTTGTGTTATTCATTGAATTCGATTGATGTTTCTTAGAAACAAATATCATTTTCATGCTTATAATAGTTTATTTCCGAATTAGTTTTGTCGAATAAAATAGTGTTTGTTTTATATTAATGTTTTAGGTTAAACTGTCTACAGATGGCTGATAAGGCTATTATGAAGGTATAATTGTATAAATTAATTCTACTGTTTAATTATATTTCAGTACTCCTGAATGATTATTGTTTCGAATGTTTAGCAAATTGCAGAACAAAAACTGAAAGCATTTTCTATTGGCACAATGGGTAAGAGACCATTAAGTAAAAAAGAATTGGAAGAACAACGCAAGAAAGAACAAGAGCAAGCTGCTGCTCAAGTAAGCAATACACGATTTATTAAATGAAACCAGATCTGAGCAAAATTTATTTCGCACAGTAATTTAAAAATAATTATTTCAAATAATGTTAATCGGTATTACATAAATAATGTATTGTAATTGATCTTAGGTTCTTTATTTGGTCGATTAATAATAAATTGAGGCACTGCTTATTTAAGCAAATAACAATGAAAATTCATTTCAAAATAATCTATTACAAAAATTATTCAAAATGCCCAGATCTGGGCTACTGTATATGTTAGAGTGAAAAGTATTTAATATTGTTACAATTTTAATTTATACATAGGCATTCGAAGAGTTTGTAGCAACTTTCCAAGAAACACCTAGTAAAACCACAAGCAAAGTTTGGGTGAAAGCAGGAACTTACGATGCTGGTAAACGGCGTAAGTTTTTTTTTATTACATCATTAATGCACGTTAAATTCAACAAAATATATTTTTATAAAAATAGAACCTATAAAATTATTAACAATCTGCATCTTTTTTTAAGGTTTTCAAAGCCAAAATTTAAACTACCAACTGCATACTTCGCATATTCTCCTAGTTTCTTAGATTATTGCTCAAATTTTTCCATTTTATTCGATTCTGAAAGTTTTAATGTTTTATAATAATACAATAAAATAATATTTATGAATTTGCACTCCGATATATAGCAGCACCAATAAAGAGAAATATACTCTGTATGTTATTGCTTAACTTTGCCTTGCAAGGTCATCAAAAAAGAAATGAATAAATAATTTAAAAAGAATATAAATTTTCCTACTTTCGTGCAATAATATTAATGTGTATTAATGTTTGTTTAATAGAGGAAGATACAAGAGAAAAAGGAAAACTGTACAAGCCTCAATCGAAAATATCGGAACTTGTCGACAGTAGATCATCCGCGGAACAAGCACAAGAATATGCGAGATTGCTCGGATCGAGCGAAAGGAAATTGGATAGATTGGGAAAAAAGAAAAAGGAAGGTGAAAAGAAAAAGAGTAATCTGGAACTGTTCAAAGAAGAATTAAAAATGATTCAAGAAGAGCGCGAAGAAAGGCATAAATATAAAGGTGTAGTGAAAACTGTAATTTCGGCTCAATCGGAGGATCCAATGTTGGCAGCTTTGAAATGCGTCGAAGGTAAATTGACATAAGTCTACAAGGTTTATAAAGCTGTATACTTACATAAATTTATTTACGAGCAAACCCACAAAAACGTAATTCAGCGACAAAGTGTAATTTTCTACAGTTTCAGTAGACAAATTATTATAATACAATTAATGTATTTTTGTCCTTAAATTAACAATTTGAATCTAACGGAACCTCTGATAGGTATACCCTCCTATCCTGACCCACGAAAGGCCAACTTGCATAACCTTATAGATGATCCTCGACTCCTAGCCCTGATTTATGAGGGTAAACAATGCCCTTTTCATTAGTTTTCTTTGCTTCTCCTTATCCTATTAAAGATATATCGCGATAATAAAAAGATTGTTTCTTTTTTTGTAGATGGATCATTCGACAATGGTGATCCTAATACCACAAATCTGTATTTGGGAAATTTAAATCCAAAGGTACAAACAACTATAATTGTTGCCTTGAATAGATATTATACTGATCTGTTTAATCGTTTACGTCGATTGAATAAATTATATAAAAAAAAACAATTCATTTTGAAAATTTGATGATACTTATTGCAATACATTGTACATAAAAAATATAGAAATAATCGAATACATTGTTGCATATAATAGATCACGGAGCAACAATTAATGGAAATATTTGGCAAATACGGACCACTGGCTAGTATTAAAATTATGTGGCCGCGTAGCGACGAAGAGAAAGCTAGACAAAGAAACTGCGGTTTCGTTGCTTTTATGAGTCGCAAAGACGGAGAACGAGCTTTAAAAAATCTCAACGGTGAGAAAATTGTACTTTAGAGTCTGTAATTTTTTTATTTAATTTCTTGTTAAAAATGTAAAATTTTATTTTTTTTTTATAAAGTGAAAAGGTAAGCCGATTTTAATTTATTAGCATAAAATATTATTTTATTATACAATTATAATAAATATTTCCTTATATGTTGAGGTAGGTCGTGATATAATGCAGTACGAGATGAAATTAGGCTGGGGAAAAAGTGTACCGATTCCACCTTATCCCATTTATATTCCCCCTGCTTTGATGGAAATCACACAACCACCACCTCCATCTGGTCTTCCATTTAATGCTCAACCTCATCGTCGTGACAGACACAAGGTATATAGAATGAACTAAATCATAGTAATTAATGAAACCAGTGTTAAATTTTAGTAGAATTATAAAAACATCAACTTTATGGCTAAAATCAAGTCTCTGCTTTAGATATCATTATTACTGTTTAGGATAAATTTAAAATTAGACCTAACTTGATTTTAATATTATTGTATAATACTATTCTATTTAGATACAAATTTTATAATTCATTTTCCAAATACAATTTCAGGTACCTCGAATTCGCAATCTACAAACTGCAGATACTCAAGAGAAGGAAAACTTTGAAAAGGTAAGATTATTTTCTTTCAATAATGCTTCGATTTCGACGGTAATATAATTTTTTAATTAAATATATGTGTGTTACACAAGTTATTTATGAATAATATAACTCAGTAAGTTTTATCGATTCTTATGGGTATACATATGTAATTATTCTGGAATAAAACAAAACTAAAACACTTATTATATATATTGTTTGAGTATCGCTTAAACATTGTAACCTACGTGCGTAATACATAGACAAACTATAGTATGTATCAAACATGGAAATCATACTTGATTTGAGCTAATGTGGCCTGGCAGATTTAATCAAATATAACTGTTGCTCTGTAATGGAAATTGTCACAGGTTTTGCAGAACGCAGTGGTCAAAGTGGTTATTCCAACAGAGAGGTAAATTCTGATTTCAGTAATTTCTAAATATACATATTCATTTTTCAAGATATTACATAGACATAAAATTTACAATTAAATCTTTAATGAAATTCTGTATTGTAGAAACTTAGTAATGTTAATACATAGAATGGTAGAATTTGTGATAAGAGAAGGTCCAATGTTCGAAGCAATGATAATGAATCGAGAACTGAATAATCCAATGTTTAGGTTTGTGGAATTTGAATCTCGTACAATGAACTCATTAATGGTGGTGGGTATTTAAAAACTATTCTTAAACTTCAGATTTCTGTTCGAAAATTATTCTCCCGCGCACACGTATTACCGATGGAAGTTATATTCCATATTACAAGGTGATGGACAAAAGGAATGGCGCATTGAAGATTTTAGAATGTTTAAAGGTGGAAGTGTATGGAGACCACCGCCAATCAATCCGTGGACACAAGGAATGCCTGATGAATTGATCGAAATGGAAGAAAGACAAGAACCTAGAAGGGGCAGTTTATCAAATAGGTAACGATTGAAATACTTTAAAAGATGAAAAATTGATTATATTATATTTTTTTTTCATTAATTTTACCGAACATTTTGTTTGAGAAACATGTATGTGTTTATAGTCAACGAGATCGATTAGAAGATTTATTGAGAAACATATCACCAGAAAGAATAAAGGTTGCAGAAGCGATGGTATTTTGTATAGAGCATGCTGAAGCGGCGGAAGAGATTTGCGATTGTATTTCAGAGTCACTGTCAATATTACAAACTCCTGTAAATAAAAAAATCGCGCGACTGTATCTCATATCAGATATATTACATAACTGTGGCGTTAAAGTAAATAATGCTACTATTTATCGAAAAGCGTAAGTTGGTTTAATTAAAGATACAGGAAATATTTGCAATGTGGTTATTAATAATTAATATATAAATGCATTTAGTATAGTTAATATTATATGCTTAAAATATAGGTTTGAAACCCGACTATTGGATATATTTAATGAAGTTCACCAAGCCTATAAACAATTTGACAGTAGATTAAAAGCAGAAGGATTTAAAGTTCGTGTAATGAGAATGTTTAGAGCATGGGAAGATTGGGCAGTTTATTCGCGAGATTTTCTTGTTAAATTACAAAACACTTTCCTTGGTCTTGTCTTGGTAAACCCATTCTTTTAGACCGTGATTTTTCTTCCTGAAGATAATAGGAATGGAAATAAAAATAAATAAGTGCTTTTAGATGGATGAGCCTGAACCGGAAAACGATGAGGATATCGATGGAGCACCTTTATCGGATGTGGATGGAGATGGTGCAGAAGATTTGGATGGAGTACCATTAGACGGTGCTGCACTTCTTAAAGGAGCTATGAAACATGGTCTAACACCGCAAACAACATCTAACTATGATGACATTGATGGCGTTCCTAGTAAGAATGTTCTAACCACATTTATTATTACTAAATTGTTATTATCTTTCATCTATTTATAATAATATATTTGTACCTTAAACATTTTGTGTTCTTTAGTGGATGAAGATATTGATGGTGTACCTATGGACGATGAGGATTCTTTAAATATACGAAATAAAGAAGATGAAAGAAAACCATCAATCCCTGCGGGTTTTGTACCATCACGATGGGAAACTGTTGATCCTGATCAGGTTGAGAATATTACCTTAATACTATTTCGCGTACTTTCCTATTTTATAAAACAAGTAATGCAATGTTAGGTTGAAGCACAAGCTATGACAACTAGTAAATGGGAAGAATTAGGTCAAAACGATGATTCAAATTCTCAAGATACTAGCATGGATTCAAGGTACTTTTTACTCTATAAAAAATTTTAAGTCTTAATTGCATTATAACGTACGGGGCCTTGTAGTGGTAGAGATTATAACGAGGAAAGAAGAAACAGACTGCGCGAAATTGAAGTTAAAATAATGCAATATCAGGATGAACTAGAAAGCGGTAGGCGAACATTGAAATCCGGTATGACAATTCAAGGGCAAGTAGAACATTATAGAAAAAAGCTGATAAGAAAGGTAAATTTTTGTATGGTACTGCTTTTAGAAACGTTCACAATCTAATAAAATATTAATTGCAGAGCGAGAGGGAAATGAAAGATGTGAAAAGCGAAGAACGAGACGACGAAAGACGAAGGGAAAAGAAACGAAGTACAACTCCAGAATCTCCGAGTCATTACAGAGACCGAAGACGAACTTCAGCAAGTCCATCGTCTAAAAGCAATAGATATAGGTGAATATACATTACCATAAATTCATGTAACTTTAATTAGGTTCTCCTACATTACTACGCTCCTATGATCATCGATGGCTTGGGTAACAGGAAACATTTTATCGTATACACGCACATTTGGATATTAGAGTGTTATTTATTTTATCCTACTATATGCGTAAAAATGTGTCATACATATATTTTTAGATCTCGTAGTAGGTCGCCACGTGGTAAACGCAGATCACGATCGCCCTACAAAAAACGAGTACCAGTGACACCGTCACCGCCACGTATTCGACGAACACCTTCGCCTTCCTTTTCGTCCAGAGTGTCTCGTAGGTCGCCGGTCAATGAACGAAACGACAGAAAAAGACGTGTTAGATCACCGTCATTATCACCGCCTCCACCACCGCGTACTTCAAAGCATAGAGCCAATAGTCCACCTTCTCCATCTCCGCGTAAACATAGACATAAGCATAAATATTAATTTATCGTACGTTGCGTTTTCTTAATTGTCACATTATAATGATCTATTATTTCTGTAATATGTACAAGTTCATAATGTTACAGAATAATACTATCATTAATGGAAAAAAGAATTAGTTAACGCAGTATCAATTATACATTCAATATCGTAAGAAATTCTTATCTGATTAAAAATATTTAAGATATTCTTTCTCCGATTCCCATTCAAATTGATTTATTTTATATGCATAAATATTTGTATTTATGATAATACGACGAATGCGTGGATGAGAAACATAATGATAGGATTTTTTGGAATCATGAAAATCGTGTATCCTTATTCTATATTTCTAGAATGTAACTGCATTAATAATTATTAAAAACATGTACAGATATAAAATTGTCATTTTATCCTTAATTATTGTACGATAGCAAAACGCTTGCAAATGAAATCAGTTGCGATAACGAACGTCAAATCAAACAAAAAATTATAGAATTCTTTTTAACTCAGATATTTTGTAATTAACAATTTAATTGTAAATAAATCCTTGCTTTTTATTGTTTCGTTTACTTTATAAAACTAGCATAGCGTATTATAAGCCATGTACCTCTTAATCTATATCTCTAATAATTAGTAACATTGAATAAAACATGATTTTTCAATATTTCTTAAATCAATTATATTTTTTATTTTATACGCGCATGTGGTTAACAGATTTTTTTATAGTAATGCCTTTTGTAACATAAACAATAAGATTTTCTTAAATTAATTCGTGGATTGTTGACACTTATTGTAGTAAACCTTTGAAAAAATATTGAATACGTTAAACATTGGGGACTGACATTCAGTCCTTGGGAATCGACTGTATCAAATTTAAAAAATAATACTTTACAATACATATAATATTAAAAAATATGTTTACGCTATGTATATGAATTTTCTTTGAAATATTTTAAACAAAAATAGAGTTTCTATTCGTTGTCTTTTCAATATACAGACACCTTTTCTGTATTTACATGCTGCCTAAATTTTACGTAAAACAAAACTAGCTCCGTATTTAACGAATCAGTCTAATCCTAATATATTTGCATATATGTATTTCTACATATGGTGTTGAGCAGATGAAATATTATTTCATAATAAATTAACATGTGTGTATTCAGATGTAAAAAATTGTAATGTACATATGCCACTATTAAATCATATATAGTGTATATATACATATATTACTACCAATGGCAGCAAATAATATCAAGCAAGGATAAAAACTAGTTAACATGTTCCTAAAAAGAAATGAGAAACGTTATATTTTCATAAATCATAGAACACATGAAAATGAAACAATTGTTTAGAAAATTATTCATATTCATAACAATTATTTTTAAACGCATGACTAACCTTATATGTATCATAATTATTTTCCTTCTGTTTCAGATTACTTTCAACATTCGATATATTAAAATCATACATTTTTGTATCACTTTTGTTCTTCATAATATTCTCCGTTTTCGGTTTGTCATTAACTTTTGCTGTGGTAGTAAATTCTGCTACTATATTTCTAGATGCTGTAATAATGTATAAAAGAAAAATTACATATAATTAAAAATAGAAATATCACTTTACGCGTTTAATAGAATAGAAGATGATAAATAATACACGTATGAATAATACATATATACATGCGAAATATACATATATCTGTTACAAAAAAAATAAAAAGGAACAAAATATTTTCTATTTTTATGAAAAATATTTTGTCCTTTTATATACATACTTCAACTTTTTTAATTAACAAGTTTATATGGAGTTATATCATTTCTTTATACCACTATACATGATTAAATACCTCGTAATAGATCCTCCATGCTCGCTAGATTTTATTAAAGTTTTCCATAATTTATATTAGTCATATTTCATATACACATTCGTTCTTTAAATTCTGATTTAAAACGACAAAACCATAAAAATTATTATAAATTTTAAAGAATAACTATAAAGCACAGTGAAATGAATAACATAGGACGAAAAAATTATACAAACTAAAATCATTTCTTAAACTTTGTGCATTTGTTTCTCAAATCAACATGTATACAATTTTGACAAATTAATTACGTTTCCATTTTGACACACTGTTAGTTTCTGTTTCCTTTGCTTCTTTAGTTTCGTTTCTGTTATTTTGTAATTTTCCATATTTAGCTTCAAGTTTAGCAACCAGTTCAGAGTCATCAAAATTGTCAATTTCATCATCATCATAGTCATCTTCTTCGTCTTCCTCCTCTCCCTCTTCCTCTTCTTCTTCTACTTCTTCTTCTTCGTCTACTTCTTCTTCATCTTCTTCATCTTCTACCAACTCTTCTTCATCTTCCACTTCCTCTTCATCTTCTGCTTCCTCTGACTCCCTTTCTAACACTTCCTTTTCTTTCTTGATCTTTGGTTTAAGTTCTTCCTCTTCTCCCAGTTTAATATCAATTTCTTCTTCTCTCTTCCATTTCCACTCTTTGCTATCATCCTCAATTTCTTCCTCAGACCCTTTCTTCGCCACTATTTTCTCTTTATCTTCTTTTCTATACTTTCCTGCTTCAGATATCCTTTTCTTTTCTGTAGTTGTAGTTTGTTCCCTGCTTCGTTTCTCAGATGAAATTATGTTAGATTCAGTTTCAATAAAGGTAACTTCTAAACATCAAAAAAATATATCATTAATTAGTTACATTTTATACATTATTTGTCTTAATTATCTTAAACAGTGAATTTGATGAAGTATGATGTAAACCATCTTATATAATACTCTAACTTCTATCATAGTATTCATATGTATTCTTTCTTATCAGATACTTGTCAATTTCGAATTTTCTTATAGTACACTTAAGAATATAAATATTTTGTTTCAGGTACATGTTGAGATATACATCAGAATTTCTATTTATTCATAACTGTTACATTATTATTTCAATTCATATAACTGTTTCTAACTTCTGATGAATTCAATTTACATATTATTTCTCTATTCAATTTTTTAAATCTAGTGACTTTTTTAAAACATTCATTTTATGTTTTTCTTTTTATCTTGTTATGTCTTTGAATTTTAATCATTTATACAGGGTGTTTCCGAACGACATGTATTAGCGAGCGGGAGACGATTTCCTATGAAAAAATAAAAGAAATAAAAAGAATAAAATTTTTTTTATTTCAGTTTAGTTTTTGAAATAATCGAAAATTAAGTTTGAAAATTCGCTGTGTTATACGCACTCACGGCAGAGACACGATTCGTCCTAAGGCGTATAGTCAACAGTGTCTATCGTGTTTGTAAACAATGTGTGCAGAATATTTACGAGTTACTGGATTAAAAAAAAAATTAAAAATGGGTCAACTTCATCATTTAATATTATGTACAGAATTACTAAAATTAATTGCCTCGCTTTCGTTGACGAAGTATTCTAGAATCTCGTAGTGATTGTTGAGGTTGGAAACAACCAGTTTCCAAAAGATTCCGTTCTATCCTGTGTATTGTTTTTCGATCGGGAACCCTACGATTCGGATATTGCTCTTTGTAATAACGTGAAGTAGCAAGATAACTTCCGTTACAAATTCCCAAACCTCGGATCATATCAAGATATTCTCGATTCGTGTAAGTCATCGCAGTAAATTGATGAAAACTGAATATCTACGATGAACCGACGATTTGAATAGTATATCAAATATACAAAATGAATTTTTAAACTTGATTATTTCGAAAACTAAGCCGAAATAAAAGAAATTTTATTCTTTTTGTTTCTCGTATTATTCCATAAGGAATCACCTGCTGATACATATCATTCGAGAACACCCTGTATACCGTATGAATTTATATAAAACAAATATGTATACGGAACTTATAACATGCAAAAATTATGTAAATTGATCAACGATTTTTCAATTCCGTGTTTTAGAAAATGAAAATGAAAGATTTACACTGAATGTATAATGGTTATGATATTACACTTGTAAAACATAAGTGTCATAACATTTACCATTGTTCCATCGTTTCACAAGGACAAAATGTGCAGCAACAACAAGTGCCACACCAACTCCAAACTTCATTGCCACTGTAATCATCAGATATTATTTGTCATTGATGTTTGCGAAATTATAATGAAATATCATAAATTTAGTAGCATTCTGATATTTTTTTATACTTGTATTATTTATACAATTGTATTTGTTAGATGAATATAAGAGCATGGAGGATCATCGAACTTGTTTCAAATTATAGAATTACTGTATGAATCAGTTTTAATCGGATACTGACATTCGACTTACCACTAATAGATTCTTCTTCAATTTCTTCTATATCTGGCTTTTTATCTATATCGCTAATATATTCTTCAGGTTCGATACTTTCTACCTAGTACAAAAATTATTAAATAATATGGTATAATATAAAGATATAATTAGAAAATAAATAAACAAATTATCATAAAATATTTTATATACGTGGAACTCTATTCAATTTATACGATATTATCGATAAAGCTTCGTGTTTTGTATTCTTGAAGTGTTCTGAATATTTAATAAATCGGTATAAAACATTATTTCTCTGATTATTTCGAAGTTTAAACAAAATGTTCCTTTTATTAAAAGATATGTACCACTTTCATAAACGGGATATATTTTTAATATTTAATAATTGTTCTCCTTTTAATTATTATGTCAATAGTAATATGTAATTGTATTAATCTTACCTCTTCTAATGGTTCTATATTGTCATCGTTAATTTCATTAATGTCAGGTATGTCTAAAAACGATTCAAATATATCCTCATTTGTTGACGTTTTTTCGATTTCATGAAATTGACTATCTGTTTCGTACAATGCATTTTCTTTACTTTCTTCTTTACTTGTAGCATAAATTTCTTCTAATACATCAGTATCGTAAGAATTCTGTGGGTTAATATTTTCGTCTTCTCGTATAATTTTCATTAGTTTTTCCTCATATTCTTTTTGATGATTTAATTCTGTGCTGACATATTCTGTTAGAATTAAAATTCATAATAATATCTTCAGTTTGTATTCTTTTTATATTGCTATGTTTTACATCTCAATACCTTCTTTATCCTGAAAAACTCTACTTTGTTCTTCGTCTGATTCAACTTCTGTTGTTTCCTCCTCTAATTCTTCATATTTATTTGTATCTTCTTCTTCCTCCTCTTCTTCTTTTTCCATTTCTTCCTGTTCTTCCTCTTCTTCCTCTACTTCTTCCTTTTCTTCTACTTCTACTTCTTCTTCTTCTTCATCAACTTGTGTATCTTCGCTGTCTTCTCCAATCTGTTCTTCTTCTTCATTTTCTTCATCGATCTGTTCTTCTTCTTCGTTAGAATTTTCAGTTATTGTAGACTCTATTTCTGAATCATGATCATCTGTAGCTTCATCTCTTTCAGTTTCTTTAATGTCTTCGTATCCATTTTCATTGTGTAATTCCTCATTGGATAAAGATAGTGAATCATCTACCCACCCATCAAAAATGAAGGCCCAGCGAGATGATTCTAATGGCGTATTAACTTACAACATAAAACATTTTAAATAAAAACTCTGTATTTGTAACAATTATACTTTTATTAAGAATATATTTCAAATTCACTTACTGTCTGTAGTACCTCTGTGTTCCAGAATAATTATACCAATCAATCCAATAAGAACTGCTAAAATAGCAAAGAATATAATTCGTGCACACCAGTGTCCACCTGTGCTGTTTTCTTTGTAAATATGTATAGTTATATTGTCTGTTAAACTTTCGTTAGAATTTCCCAAGGTAGGTGCAGGTATACCACTGTCTTCCTCATCTGAGTGATATAATACATCCGATAATAATAATTTTTTAAACAATTTTCAGAATTCTCTAATTCTAAGTTCAATAAATTTGTGTACAATATACACAAAATATACAGAACATACAAAGTTCGTGCACGTGCGCCCGCGCACACACCATATATTAGATAACAAAATAATTTGTATATTTTATTTTTTTTTTAATAATCATCAAAATATTCAACAAAACATTCTCTTTGCATTGTTTCAAGCTAGTTCTACTATACTTAATTATAAATAAAATAATTTAATTATCATAATAATAATAATATTAAATAATTTATATCTGATGATACAGTAAGGAAATTATTCGATCTTTGTTTTAAAAATTTTCTTAAATATCTGCTATAATGGAATCAACGATATGGTATATTTATGAATTATCGTATCGTAAAACAATATTAAACATTCATTGAAATTGCAATATTTATGCACTTTATGATACATACATATGTTTTAAAAAATAAATTTCTATGATACGTAATGTACGAATAATATTTCCACATAGAAATATGTATGTATGCATAACTTTCTGATATATATAGATGCTGATCCGTATAACCTTCATTGTTACGCATTTATAATATTAAATTCATATTTCATTTCGTTTCTATAGAAAATTAAAAGCTGAACATATTTCATACGCAAGTATAAATATTATATTTATAAACATAAAATATGCAAATAAATTAGAGGAATATGTTTTTGGATTGGATATTAAGGTTGATCTATTTTTGAAAGCCAAAAGCTAGGCTGATCAAGCTTCTAAGACCCTGCATTTTCTAATTTGAGCAACATTGCCAAATATGCCTTAAAATATCTGAATTTTCAATCTTCATATAATATTATTATAAAGTGTTTTGAAGAAGTAGGTATTAAACAGAAATATATATATTACAGTTTCGATAAATAATTTAAAATACACTTTCCAAGTGAAATGTAATTTTATTCTGTAAGAAGAATCGTAAACTTGAAAAACAAAAGAGAACATGTATAATAGATAGATATTTCTAAATAAAAATAAAAGTGATAACATCAAAACGAAATATTTTTAATAATATTTTACATGTTAGGGTGTTAGTTGCATGATAACACAAAAACTTTTAGAATCGATTCGTTTATAATATTTAAGTTTAATTTTCAATGCGGTCTTGATGAAAATAATAATACACATAATAAAAAATGTCAATAAATTGGATAAATATCAATTAATAAAATATAAATTTATAAAACGATTTTTGATCAACTACGTAAATATTATATATTAATTTCATTGTTATAATTATTAAAGTGTATTAAATCGATAAACATTGTGAATATTAAATATTTTTACGAATATGACATTTTAAACACGAATTATACGACTTTCACGGTATGAAATCAGCTCAAAAGACGAGAAAGTATCTACATTTATTCTTCTTTACTGTAAGATATCTAACGTCTATTTCCAAGGCTAAAAATAAGAAAGTAAACATTGCTAAAAATATTGAACGGAAGAAATCAAAGTTATAATAATTCTCTCACACTTTCAATAGCTTATTTTTTACCCTTTTTACGTCTCTTCTCTTTTCGTTTTCTTGCTTGTACATCTCCGGACATCTTCCGCGAGGAAATGTACTTCAACTTTTGGGCGAACAGGCAGACACAATGAATTTAAATTTTTAAAACGATCGAACGCTGTGCCGCGTCTGCGATTATTTGATTTGTAATGATCTTAACAAGTGTTGACACAATATGAAAATCCCTAGTAACTTATCTTGAACATTTTCTCACACAAGGTTCTCAGTTTTTCCCAAATTTCTGCCGATCTTGAAAAATTATAAAACATATAACAGATATTCGTCGAGAGGTTTAACTTTGTACTGAATTTATTCCTTTAAAATTAAGAAACAATTATATGAAATTAAATTGAAACTAACGAATAAATATTACCATAAAATTAAATTAACATTGTTAATCAAAGAGCAGCTTAAGTATTACTAGATTTAAAAATAGTAGTAAAAATTTCTGCGCTAATAATTACATATGATATGAATAAAGTTATAATATCAAACATGTAATATATATATTATTGAATAACTGATTCTTTGAAGCGAAAGAAAATATATATTTTTTTCAACGAGACGCTTCATAATAAACAGTTTATTAACATTCCGAGTTACAAAATTATAAACTTAAATTCATTAAAAAACATTTACCGTAGAAAGCATATGTACAATATTAAAATACGTAGTATGGTTTAGTACAAGGTATAGCTAAATTTCAATTTCAATAAATAATTTACGAAATACACTTATTTGCGAGTAACTTTTTAGCTCATCGATATACTTCAAAGCGTAGTCGTGCTAAAAATGTCTGTTAAAAAAAAAAAGAAAAAAAAACGAATACTAACTTAATGAACACAATGAAATAGGATACAAAAGTATTACTAAAATAATCAATTAATAGAACAACTTTAATATAAATAATACCATTTGTAAGCAGAATTTTATATAAAGCAGAAAGAAAATATTATATACAATAAAATATATTCGATATAGTTTTAAAAACTATTCGTTATTTTTGATTTTACAATCAATTTACCTTTTATATAATTAGTAAGAAGCATATTATTCCACCTTAAAAAATCTATTTGATTTTCGTACGAATTTCCGTTACCGATTCCTATCAACAACTTATATATAAACTATGCTAAAATTGCAATTTGAAAATGTGAAATTGATCATACTACAGCTGGATTAAAAAATAGAATCGATCGGATAAAAGAATATAAATTCTGATTTTTGTAATAAATTTGTTTTCCGAATGAAAATATCGTTTTATTTCAACTATTCGTACGAATAGTTTTCGTGCCCTCTTATAAGATGGCACTTTATAAATTTTTTACATTTATCAACTTATGTATTGTTCAAATACTTTTCCTACTCAAATACAGTACAATCACATTGAAAGATTAGAGCATAAAGATCTTTTTTTTTTAAATTATCTAACAGTTTTGATATTCTATATTATCTTACAATAGTGTTAGTATCTGTTCTTCTTATTTGATAAAATCTGCAGTAGTTTATATAAAGGCATTACATGAATATGTATCAAATTTTAATAATTATATGCCAGTTTTAATTACAGTCGTTAAATAATTTAGCAATCCTATAAATATTTCAATTAATCTACGACCTCTTTAAACGTTGTTTCTAACCTTATATCTAAGGAGTTAATGCAAATTTTTTATCGTAGCCCTACCCTTAACAACGTGAAAGTAAATTAATCATGTATACTGTACAAATAAAAAATATGTAAATTATGTAATATTTATAATACATTTACAAACTATATAAATTTATTCGCTAATTTGGAGGGATGTTTTAGTATGGCTATCATTAAAAGTACAACTTTGCTTTCAAGATATCTAATTGTTCGTTAGTTAGTATAGTATCAGGAGATTACTGGAACATTAAATTTTGTTTTTCGAAAATAATTATTATACAATCAATTGAAAATTTAACGTTAGTCATTAATGTTTTTAAAAGTTTTGTAAATATGAATACTTTTTTACTATTAGTAGTTTCTAAAAATTTATAATTTTCACTAAAATTAGTTAAAAAAAAAATATCCTCTGGCTGTTCGAAGTTAAAAAGTATGCCGACGCAAGAATAATATTTTAATATGATTTTACAAAAATATTTTATTAAATAATGAGCAAGTACTATTGAGTCGAGTTGTTCTTTAAGAGGAAAGTTGTTGATATTGTTCGTACCTACACAACTATCGAGTACAACATTAAATGTAATTGTAATTTATGAAAGACGAAGTTTTTTACTAAATGCCAATTATGAGTTTTGCGCGCCCATAAGAGTAGATTACACAAGATTTATCACAATCATGTCACGTGTATCAATGAATATGTCTTGCAATTAATCAATTATTAATCATTTACAACACTTAACAAAAAATTATATTGAAATAGCAGTCTTATTTATATTAATAAGATCGTTTCTGTACTACAATTTTTGTTTATAAATCGTAGATTTCGCAATACTATAAACATTTACTTTTGCAACTTTGTTAAATGTTTCAAGTATTAAGAGCAATTTATAATTAGGTAACATAATAAAAATGTATCGATATGTATTTCTATATACAAGTTTGTCACACAAAAAAAGACATAAACGCATTTTAAAAGGAATTTTAGCCATTTCTTTCAATTCTGAGTAAAAATCTATTCATAAAGATAAATGCAGTAAAAGATCATATTTTTCTGTTTAAATTGTTAAACGTTTAAAAAAACATATGAAAGAAGCAAGAAAAAAAAACTAAATAAGGTAAAGAGAAAGCTCAAATGAAAATCATAGAATTTAACACGTTGTACTTAATCACTGGAAAATCTATAAAATTACTATACTTAAATATATATATATTTAATATATATAAATATATATATATTTATACTTTTTATACACATTTGACTCGAGAAAATTATGTTAAAATACAAAGACAAATTTGAAAACCACGATTAGTAATAGTTTTTGTAATGCTGCTATGTATAGATTAAATTTCATTTGCATAACTGATATACTATGTTTGTGCTGTTTGATTCGACTCTGTAAAAATGATCACGACCAATGTTACTTTTCTAATATTCAGATAGTATCATTAATATATATTATATTCTCTTCGTTGTTATTTACAAAGATCTAGAAATGAGTGACATATGAATAGTACTAATCACTAACAGCATACCATTCAAGTACAAAATGCTATAACTTGATGAAATTATGAAGCAATAATTCGCGTAATATGTTGTACATTAAAAGTTCAAGTGCCTTTATGCATTATTACTCATGACTTAACTCTCTCGATAATGAGATTGCAAATTTAATTTATCAATAATTTAGTTTACTATTATACTTATGCACATGTGTCTCCAATATATCAAAATTAGATATAAATAAGTAAATAGAAGAAACTTATATTGTTACAAAATATTATATTAAGTGCATTTTATGATAACAAATCAAGAAGTATAACTTGCTTCCTGAAGTATTGCTCACAACATGTTTTTTTTTTAACAGATTGCGCGTAATAGCACTTTTATAGAATTTATACGATCCAAAAATAATTAATTTGATAAAGACATGTGCATATAAATAAAAAGAAAGATGACTCCTTATTAAAGGAGAGTCAACAGTATTCGAAACAGAAATAATTATACAGTATATTTAGTTTAAATTTAATTTAAAAATTTGTTGCTATTCAAGATACAAACAACAATTATTTATGTAAAAAAATGTTTAAATTTAAATCTTCGGTAATATTAATATTATCTTTAAACAAAACCTTATATGTGTCTAGTTCATTCCAAAAAAAATTAAATCGAGGTACAATAATGATATAATTATTAGTATTATAAAGCTGAACAGTAAGTTCAGTCTTTATAAAGTGATTCAATTTTCAAAATATTTTTATGACCAAACTCTGATCAAAACTCTGGAAATTATGTCCATTTTTATTGTAAACTCTGAAGAATTAAGTTTTGGTTTTAATGTTTAAATTTTTTATCGTGTTTTCCTCCCCTCTAAAGAACTGTAGGAAGCTGGTAAGTTTGCGAACAGGACCAAACAAAGGAAGGAGAGATTTTCCATTTACTCTATCTATCCCCACCATTAATCAGCTGTTTGTAAGTTAGAGTCTCGGCGACACGCCGAAAGTACATAGTACGTACAGTATACGAACGGGGACTCTACAGTCTATACTATAACCTATCGGGTCTCGTAAACTTACCAAATATCTACTGTACATATTTTTCATGTAAACAATTCTTTGTATCTTCAATAGCTTAAAAAATAACAAACGTGCCCTTTAAACTAAATATACTGTAAACGATTGTAAAATATATAGATTTATACAATTTGATTTTAAACGCTAGATTCATGTTAGAATATAAGTAACGCGAACATACGAGAAAAATTTCTTGAACAAGTTCATAAAAACATATTATTTTTTTATCTTCACATTCGAAAAGAATTATTAGATAACATATTCATTAAAAGAATTATAAGAATACGTGTTATCTCTTAACGTTGTCACTGTATGTACATACATTCGCTCAATATTTTAATATGATCATAATTGCTGAATTTTCTTGATACTAGACATACTAATTCCGTCTGTTGCCAGTAAACTAGAGCTATCCAATCTTCTATTGTTTTCTAAATTTGCATTTTTCTCAAACTTATCTATTCTTAACGTATTATTTAAACTATGGTCAAAGTTTTTGAGATCATTTTGGATACTTTTAATGGTGTCAGTATTATTTTCATACCGTCGTAATAAATTGTTTTCGTTCTCATACCTACGATGTATCGAATCAGAATCTAAACATTTCCTAAATGTTTCATCGTATCGTCGATCTTCTATTCGCCTAGAAAATTCACTGTCGTAACAATGACCCGTTTCTATATAATGTTGATTTAAATTGTCCACTTCGTAAACACACTTTGTTAATTGATTCTCAAACCCAGCTCTAGCTGCTAAGTGGAGGTAATTGTCATCACCGATCGGAGCTTGCCTAAAATAATAACAATAATGCTCTCATAATTATATAAGATAATCTCTAAGAACTAGAACGAGCTGTAACTATTTTTTTTTTCTCTTAATAAAGATAAAAAAACAGAATAGACAGCAGTCACAAATGGTGGGATTTGACTGGTATATGTATAAAAAATAAATATAATTTAATGAACTTACTTGCTTCCGTATTTAGTATCGTGCGCCAATCTTCTAAAATAGGCTCTGTGTTCGTGCTGTAAAGCATAAGCAGCTTCTCTTAACGCAGTTAAAGTTTTAAAACAAGAGGGCACATCTTCTATAGGAGATCCACCACCCGGTATAACGCACATATCACTAGCTCCGTAAACAGCTTGACATTCGCATGCACTCATTAACGTTTCAAGCCTCGGCATGTTTGTAAATATTAGAGAATGTATTCGTTGCAAATCTCGATCTGGATCTAGAACCATACGTAATCCAGCTTCTACGCCCGGTGACACCTCGCTACACCCTGGAGCATTTTCGGTCACTGCTTTGCAACTATAATCATGTTTTATTAACAATTGGAAATACTCTGTACATAAGTGATGTTAAATAACATACCAAAGCCAATGACCATTGATGTATGCGCTTGGGTGATACTTTTCTAAACGATTATTGTTCGTGCGGCAAATTTTTGTTAAAATATCGATCCACTCTTTTTCCTCTACGCAATTTCCGGCTTGAACATACAATGCTCTTTGCGACTGAATAATTTGAAACATATTTTTCATTTTAAAAGAATTTTCTTGAAGCCTTTCAACAGCTAAAATTTCTTCAAGAGGTATTTTACATAAAGGTTCTTTACCTAAGAAATAATTTATCAAATATAAATTTCATTGAAAAAGTTATGGTTTTGTAAAATTGATACGCTGTTTTCGTAATACGTATATTCACCTTTTGTTTTAGAATACGTTAAGTCTTGTGTAGTAAGTCTAAAGTATCTCTGCTTAAAATTTTTACGACCAAATCGTTTTCTTCCTTGTGCCCTTTTAATCATTACTCTGTAATAAAATAACAATGATGTTAAACTTATCGACTACGCAGATCGTGTATTAAGATAAATACCGAAATCGTTAAATATCGCTACAAACCTCTTATCACAATCAGCAGTATGCAAGAAGAGAAAATATATTCTATTAGAAATGCTTTCCATTAATAATAGTTATATGCATGAACGAATATTATGGAATTTAGAACTTTATTGGAAAGTAGAGATTAATAGAAAAGATATGAAGACCTAAAATTAAAATATACTAATATAATCAACACACATACCCTTCTTTTAGCACAACCGGTTGTTCTTGTTGGGCACTTGGTCGTTGATTCGTAATACCACAATTACTACTGGTCGATATTAATTCCAAAAATTGTTTAACTGCTTGTATGTGCTTTTCCGTGTAAAATTCTCTATAAAAGTAATCTATGAATAATATATGAAATCTGTTTGTTTACGAAATAAATTCTGAAATAAGTTTTATCTCTGTGTACCTATACACACATTCCATGTATTCTTCTTTACAAACGCTACCTGCTCCGCCTCTACAACTTACTAAGTTTCCTAGACTCTGAATTGTTTTAGAAATTAATGTTAATGTCCTGTTAGTCTGAGAATCCTACAATAAAAATAATAACAGTTATTATTGACTTAATAGAAAGCCAGCATTGTAATAATTTTTTTGTTAATAATGTAGATTCTCTTACAATTTGCTCAGTTGTAATATCAAATAATCTTGGACCCAATATTGCAGGAGCAAAAAATCGTAGAAAAATAAATCCACTAATGACTGAATATCTTACTTCTTTATTTTTTGGGAAATGTGTTGTTGCAAGTTCTCTTAAGCACCAGAACATTTCACACATTAAAGGCGGACACCGCACACCTGATGTTGTAATAGCAGTAAATACTCTTTCGACATATTCCTGTTACATTACACAGGGTTGTTAAGGTTAATACAAATATAAAATCATAAGAGAAACTTAATTTTTTTGTATTAAATACCTTTAGATTTGCTAAATTAGTTTGAATTGTATTTGCATCCTTTACTCTTGTTGGATCTATTTCACACGGTTTTTTTTCTAGGAAGACTTGCTCCATCGCTGGTCTGAGCGTACTGTGTAAATAATGAAGTCCTGCTAATCTCATACCTTCGTCCATCATTTTACTTACTAACGTATTACCACGAAATATTGTAGTTGGATCGCTTTAACAAAAATTATACTTTGTTCTGTACATCGTTTTATATGGTTCTTATTCTTTAACGTTACAATTTATTTACTTACGTTAATTTAGAAATTTCATGACTAGCTAAAGCTCGCATTACAGAAACCAATTGGCCATGATGTACTAATACTCTAACCAATGGTTGCGCAGCTTCCATTTTGCTTGCTACAATTTCTCCCAAAATATATACAGCAGACGACGTTATCGGTTGAATATTAACGCTTTGTAACAACAAATTTCTAAGTCTATCGTACATCGTTGACGGGAAAACATGATCTGCCGTGTAATGTATTTTTAATCGCAGAGATCCTAAACCTGGTAATACGCCCGACGGTGTAGAACTGCTTGAGATTTTACTTAGGCGATGTTTCGCTGCTCTGGGCTGTAGGAAGTACCTGTTTGTAAGAAAAATAAGATAAAAGTTATTCATAATATTTTTTTACAATTCTATATTTCCCCAATCTAGTTTGCAAAAAAATAAATGTAAATAAGTACCATGCAGTTGTTGTACTAGTTGGTTGTTTCTGTAGACCTCTTAGTGTAACTCTAACTTCACCAAGAAAAGCTGGTTGTTCTCCCATACCAGGAGATGCATGCCATAAACCTACAACTACTTCACCTACTTCTCCACTTTCAATAGAGTAATGAGAAACATCCTTCTCTTTGGATTCTGTTATTTCTGGCTATGGGTAAAATGGATAAAAAGAAAAAACAATTATTTAAAAACTAGATTTTCCTGTTGAAACGTAAACTTCAACGCGATGAATAAATTTAGAGAGAGAATAGAGAGAGAATCAATAGTATAAGTAATTTATTTGTATTTACCTCAAAGATAAACGTTTCGTTAAAATACGGAGACACTGTTTTTTTTTTTATTTTTGTGCGTTTCGATATTTGTTTACCGTTACTATAGATGACCGTAACAGTTGCAAACGGATCACAGCCACCGTTTTTAATAGTTAATTCGCTACATTCTATAACTCTAAAAAAAAAATAATTACAATTATGAAAACACAATTTATATCGTTAGTTTGAAAATAATTTGAAAAATAGACTATTTCGAAATAACATTATTTCATGAAGTATCTCAAATGGTTCAGCATGGGGCATATACATTCGGAAAAATATTAAGATCCATTTATTCTAAATGTTTTAAAGACATGTTTTGATCAGTAACCACCATAGCAGTTTATGCGCTAGCAACAATCAATCGATAATTCTTACAAAACAATTTACCTCACTGTTAATTTAGATTGAGCATGTCCAATTTGAGGTTGGAGAGCAAGTTCCAAATGTGTTTTGCCTTGAACTTCAGAATCAGCATCCACTGGTCTCAAAGGAAACCAATGTTCTTTATTATGATACGTTGCTAAATCCTCCCTCTTTATAGCTACTTTGCCCAAGATTTTATCTTGCTTCAAATGTCTGTCTCGATCATAAACATAAATACCAAGATGACGAAATTTCCTAGGTACTTCAAATTGAAATTCTTCTCCAAAAAATGGGCTATGCAAAACAGACATTCTTTGTAACTATTTTCTTAACAGAAAATAATTTAAAAGACTATTACTATTATTTTACGAGGAGAGTAAAAACAGAAGCTTACTTGAGAGTTCTTTCCATTGTTGTTGTTTTAAATATTTCCTCTTGATCAAGAGACAGAGCACAGTATACATCCCTTGTACCTGGAGATCCATGACTTCTACTTTGTAGATTTTTTACTTCACCTGCATATAATTAAATTAACACTTCTAATATTTTCCATAATAACAAACATACTTGTGTTCTTCGATATTGTTAAAGAATATTTTTTTTTGTTTTAATGTAATAGTATCTTATATTTTGGCAAAAGATAAAAGTATCAATGAATTCAAATATTTTACATTATTAATACAACATCCTGATGAGGAAGCTTAATATTATATAAACTACATAATCAACTTGAAAAGTCAATTTTAAGTCAAAACAAAATTATTCGTCTTATATAAATACATCGATTCGATTCAAGTAAATAAATGTCGTAAAATCGTAATAATTTTCACGTTATAAATTTCGGTTGCAATAGAATGTACATATATAAAACACGATAAAATAAAATATTATTGAACAATTGTTAAGTACTTCGGTTTGTATCTCGTTTCACCGAAATAAAATGATGTTTCCCGCGACAACTTTTTTCGGAAAAAATATAACGCACGGGGAAATAATACTGCGATTTTGATACGTTCTTGATTTCTGTCATAAGGTTAGTGAAACCGTACCACAGGAAAACCATTCATAAGACGTTTTAGACGAAAGTAATGAGCAAAGGGGGAAAAAAGTTACAACCATTAAAATTAACGAAGGCGGTTAACGATATTTAGGTTTATCAATGTATTAATGAACGTAGCAAATATTATTTAGTGGTAACTATCGAAAAGTATTTCACGTAGGGACAACGATGCGTGGGAGCTGAAAATGTACGCGTACGCGCTTCTGATCACTAAAATTTGGAATAAATACCACCGCACTGTGACCGTACAACAGATTTATCGACTACACAGAAGAAACCATAGAATGAACCGTGAACCGATGCGAGAAAAGTATCAACAATGCTTTTCGTTCAGATAGTAAAGTTGACTAGCCGTAGGAGTCAAATTAGGTGACATCCCGAATGAACAGTAGCACGCGTGCACGAATATATCAGACTTTTTTTTCGAACAACAATATTCTTGCGACTTTTGCGTAGCATGTAACTCGACCAACTTTCGCATTGTCGTCGAACGACATTTCTGACGAGTTTGCGTACCGATTTTAATCTTTAATCTTTCTTCAACGCGAACTAGGCGCGTCTCCTCGGCCATGTTACCTCCATGACACTACTGAGTAACTACATGAACAGAATGCAGGCGGTCTTTCATTCTGTGAATGGATTCTAAGCAGGGCCGTATTTTTCTATATTTGTACCCACCCTTTCAATCATGAATTGAAGATCTTACAAATTAATTTTCGATCGACGTGAACGCACGTTATTTTTCCATTTACAACGAAAACCAGGATCCGGATACCTGAATACACAATAATTGAGCCCTTTATAAGCCAAAATGATTAACATCACTTTGTGAACTGTTTATAGTACAGGGTGGGGCAATAGCTATGCCCACCTTGAATATCTCCGTTATTTGTAATAATATTGAAAAATTTTATATACAAAACTTGCACGGTACAGAGGGGGGCACATTGTGATATAAACATTTTTCGTGTGGGTGGAGGCAGAGAGGAGATTTCAAGGTCACCTTCATTTTTTTAAATGGGATCACCCTTTTTGAAACACCGACAATGATAGTCCCTTTTATTAGGAATTCAGTGACTATAATTATTCAAGGTCACGGTCGGAGAAAATGTATAAAATGTAAGATATGAAAGCAGAATTACCTGTGTTTCATAAATGTTCAAAATGATGGCCATTTACGTCGATACATTGCTGTAAACGGGCTCTGAAGGAATGTTGAACTCTGACAAGTACATCCGAGGTGATATTCGCACATGCTGTGATGATCCGCTGATGCATACACTCCGGGACAAAAAGATAGCACACTTCCAAATTATTGTAATTTCTGTTTATTAAACGTTACAAATTCAGCTTTTTGTATGCATATATTTTCAGACTGCCGTTGTTGATACATATGAATGTAATGAAATGAACCCTCCTTAATCTATATATTTTAATTTCATGAAATACAATTATTGACAAGATATAGAGGGATAAAATAATAGCACACTTAACGAAAAACTTTAAGCATAAAACATTTAATGAATAGAAATTAATGCTTAATATTTTATAGAACCTCCTTTACATCTAATAATTTCAATCAATCTGTTTGGTAAAGATTTATACAATTGTTTAATACTTTTTTGGCTAATATTTTCCCACTCGTCCAAAATGCACTGTTTTAAATCGTTAATATTTTGAAATTGTCTGCCATTTTGTTATACGGTTCTGGTAAGATGTCCTCAACAATTTTCAATAATGTTGAGATCGGGGGATCTTGCTGGTCAATCCAAATTACGAATGTTTTGCGAAGAAAAGTATTTCTTTACCGCTTTCGCTGTATGAATTATGGCATTCTTGTTGTAATATGTATTTTCATTATTCATTATTCATTCGCCCTTTCATAAATTTTATTTCGGTTTTACCGTAGTATCCAATACCGGGCCAAATCATTATGCTGCCGCCTCCCATTTGGCGACGACTTAAAAATTGCTGTTCTTTTCTCAAATCATGATAATAATAATCTAAGCCGTCTGGCCCATCCAAATTAAATCTTTTTTCGTTGGTAAATATGACTCTTTTCCACTTTGTTGCCATATTTATATGCTTTTCGGCAAACTGTAAGCGGAACGCTTTATGCTCTTTCTGTAACCAAGGTTTCTTTTGCAATTTCCTTCTCACTAAATGCTTACATTTTTGTAAAACACGACGCACATTCTTTACATTAGTGTTTGCACCAACACTTTCTGCAATTTGTCTCGTAGTCATCCTTGAATTTGATGCTATTCTCAATATTCCACGTCTTTCGCGAGTACTTAAACTTCGTGGACGACCAGAACTCTTATTTTTTAATAAGTTCATAATAATCTTACGACTTCTATTTACAACTTTCGATATTTGTACAATTGAATATTGTTCTTTCTTTAACGTCAATATCGTATGATTTCACATTCATTTAGCTTTTTTCTACTATTTTTCTACGATCGACTAACACTTTACTGCGTTTTTTTTTTATCAAATAAGCACGAAGAACAGTAGGACACACACCATTAAACATTCAGTAACTTATACACAACTGAGAAGCGCAAATTTTATACTTGTGCTATCATTTTGTCCCGCTTGCGAACTATAATATTTACGTTTTCATTCCTGGAATTCTGTTAAAATAAATACTGCGGATGATATTCAGTACATTATACATATAAGCATGCCCATAGATTTAAACATATTAAAATATTCATCTTTTCCAGTTTATAATACCAAACAGGAGAAATTATAAGATGTTCTATCTTTTTGCCCTGGAGTGTATCTTCAACCGTTGTTGGAGCATTCGCGTATACGGTCTCTTTTAGCAGACCCCACAAAAAGAAATCCAGTGGATTTAAGTCAGTCAAACGTGCTGGCCATGAAACAGTACCACCTCGTCCAATCCATCGGTTTGGAAATCTAGAATCCAATGTTTCTCTTGCTACTCGTGCATAATGGGCCGGACAGCCATCATTTTGGTACCACATATCATAACGGTTCTGTAGAGGGACATCTTCCAACAAAATTGGCAGATCTTCTTGCAAAAATTCAGAATATTTTTGCCCTGTCATCGTTCCGGTAATGAAATATGGTCCGATTACTTTATCGTTCAAAATACCACACCACACTTTTACGCTTCATTGTCTTTGGTGATCAACTTCTCGAAGCCAGTGCGAATTACCAACAGACCAATAATGGGCGTTCCGTAGATTAATTGAGCCATGATTACTAAACGTTGCTTCGTCCGTAAACAAGACATTAGAAAAAAATGAACGATTTTGATGTAATCCCCCATTTACAAAAATTAATTCGACATTGAAGGACCTTAGTATGTTTACTACAAGTCTCACTTATGATAAACGTATTCTCCTTTCATATTTTAAATTTTATACATTTTCTCCGACCGTGACCTTGAATGACCTTGAATAATTACAGTCACTGAATTCCTAATGAAAGGGACTATCATTGTAGATGTTTCAAAACGGGTGATCCCATTTAAAAAAATGAAGGTGACCTTGAAATCTCCTCTGTGCCTCCACCCACACGAAAAATGTTTATATCACAATGTGCCCCCCTCTGTACCGTGCAAGTTTTGTATATAAAATTTTTCAATATTATTACAAATAACGGAGATATTCAAGATGGACATAGTTATTGCCTCACCCTGTATATTAAAACAAATTTCCTTAATAATTATGCTCCACACTATAAATTGACAGAAAGATGTTTTAAAGGGAATTTTGAGAACGAATGTGTATTATTTTTGTCAATATTGTTTACTTTTCCTTTTGCTAAGTTGATCGGCTTGCAAATGAGCGGCTCGATGTTTATTATATTCTAAAACAATTTTTCTTCATTATAGTAGTAAAAGTAGATTAAATTAAAACAAATACAATCATTTTATTTGTACCGTGTATAAATACAAAAATTACATTTATATTCTCGTTCCATAATAATAGGGAATATTATTCTAAAGAAATGCCGTCAGTGGATCTTGCTTTCCAAACTTGTCTGTTCAGCAAAAAAATACACAGATATACTACGTTTGAACTCTACGTTTACAGTTTTCTTTTTTAACCAAAGAGAACGATCACGAAATTGTGTAACAAATAATGAATATTGATAAAAATTATCATTGTACTTGAAAAAGAAAAAATTTCGACATTGTTAATTATTAATATCAGAGAAAGAGATTATTTAGATTGTAGTCAATTGTTCACGTTATTGTCGATCGCTAATAGTAAAATTAAATTATCGTGATCAATTATACATTTATTTTTGCGTTGAAAATAGTTTTTAAAAATCAGATTTTTTAAAAGGAAATATACGATTTTTATTAACATATTAGTACAATAACATGTATGATCGGTATAACGAGTACAGAACGTAGAAAAAAAGTGTCTGCTATTATAGTTGCTATTGGAGGAAAGCGACTGAAGAAATGTGGAAGTCGTAAAGGAAGCTGATCAATATTATCCTAACAGTGGAAAAAAAATCATCGTATCGAGTTAATAAGAGGACTTGTGCTAACCTGAGCAAGTGCTAGTGGCATAGTAATATTCGGATACGGTATTGACATGTGTAAGTACACAGTGTGCGGTATGTAAAGGCATTCTCCCGATGATGTCGATATTTACACACATACAGGGTAAAACCATCATTCGCGCGTTCCCTCTCCTTCCCATCACACCACTCTTTTGGCCAGTGCCTATATTCGGTTCTTATCTAAATGTGTTAAGTTTGCTGGCTGTTGTGGAATGAGAGCAAACCTCTATGTTCGAACATGTTAGTTAACTACACTCGTGTAAGTGGTGAGCCACTTCCTCATGGCGCAATGGCCCGCTTCCTCTCCTCTGAGCTTCTCTTTGCTCCTCACTCTTTGTAGAGCTCCATAGACCACGTCGCCTTCCACTCCCCTCTTCTCCTTCCTCTACTCACGCTCCCTTTTGCTGTCCTTCCCCTTCCCCATCCTTCCTTTTGACTTTCCTCGCCATCGCTGTTATAAAATCTTAATAAAAAAAAAAAGAAAATAAACAAAACCAAAGCATATTAAAGATGAAAAGAACGGAAAAGTGACCGAGACCGTTTTCTCTTCTTTTCTTTTTTTTACTTTTGTTCAAATTGTATAGAGTAATAAATATACGAATACAGAGCAACAGAATTGTTAAGAAGAAAATATTATACAACCATCCAGCCAAAGTTGAACAAATTTTAACGAATAGAAATTTTTAGATTTATTCGTAAATTCATTTTATTTTCATTTTAAAATAAATAAAGAAGAATGATCATTACTATTTTCCACGCGTAAAATACCGCGAACCAAGAGTGCCTTTTATTCTGGCGTTTGTGTTGTTTACATTATTGTTTAATAATTGAGATTTCACTTTCATAGTAGAAGTAGGATTTAAATAAATAATCCTATAGATATTCGTCGTTAATTGTTACAACTATGTACTAACAATGTTTACGTTTTCTTTTTTTTAATTATTATACATATAATAATTAATGATAATTAGAACTGATAAAAAAAATATTACACGATATTTTGTCGAATTGCACTTTTCCT